AAGCTTAGCTTCCGAACTGGAGCTTGGCAGCCGGCGCGGTAGGTCCGGGGCTCCCCCCTCCCCCTCCCGGGGTGGGGAGGGCTGCGCGGACGATCGGCGCGGCAGTAAAGTGTGATGTTTGCTTGTTTGCTTGTTTCCTTGGGATTGTAGGGAGTTTTCTACCTCTCTGTTCGGTTTTTGTTGTAGTTTCTTACCATGTGGGGTTTGTTTTGTTACGCCTACCTTTCTGGGTGCCTAACCCCGGTCGATGGCAGATAAGGAAAACCCCCAACCATATGGGGTTTTCCAGGGCCATTGCTCCCTGAAACCTCTCTGAAGGGGCCAGGTTCTGGCGCTGGTCCCTGGTAGGTCTGAACTCCTTAGCTAATGTCCCGGTCTAACATAACACACATTAGCCCGATAAGCTCCAGGGAGCCTCCGGGGCTCACCCAGAAAATGGCGTTTCATTACATTCAACGCTGGTTTTTTATAGCTTTTATTACCGTAATAATGTTCCTAAACTAAATATATAACCCAAAAATATATAATTTGATGTATATCGAATATTTAAGAGAGATTTATGTTACTGGATCTGGCTTAAACACCAGCCTACTGAAGGGGTGTACGTATAGACTTAGTCTGCGTTCGTACAGTATGCACCCAGTGCCCTTAGCTTTGTCTGCGATTGACGTACAGTATTTATCCTCCAGTGGAAGAATAATTGTGGAATTGACCATTTTTTTACTACAGCTCTTTGGTTATAAAACAAAATGTCTCAGGGGCTTACTAATAGTACCTTATTAATGCCAAAAATGAAGCAATATTTTGCAAGAACTAGTAGCAGAAAATCAACCAACACGAGCACAGCCGTACCCAGCACGAGAACAGCCGTACCCAACACAAGAACAGCCGTACCCAGCATGAGAACAGCCGTACCCAGCAAGAGAACAGCCGTACCCAGCAAGAGAACAGCCGTACCAAGTGCGAGAACAGCCATACCAAGCACGAGAACAGCCGAACCCAGCACTGGTACAACAGCAGCCAGTACCAGCTCAGAAACAGCTGAACCCACAGCAGCAGCAAGCACCAGCAAACCTGATGCAAACATCTAAAAACATCGTGTGCGGCGTGAACAGTTAGAACAAGTGTTAAATTTAAGTGTGTACACAGTGTTAAAATTAAAGTTGCAGTAATTTTAGTGTACAATAGTTTTCATAAACTGCATTGTAGTACTCAACATACAGCAGAACTACTTTTAATCAACACAGTGCTAACGGCATAATGCACTACAGCACATATTTACTGTAGAGCATTCACAACTTCACGAAACTTCAAGATAGACATAACTCCAACAATAAGGTAAATTTATGAATTACAGTATTTTTTAGTAGAGAAGTAATATATAGGTACAGTATGTAATATCATGATGCATTTTTATTGTGTACAAGAAAAAAAAAAAAAATTACACAAATGCCTCCTGAAGGTCACCTCTTGCAACAAATCCAACGCTCCAACGAACTGGGGTTGGTCCCATATAGTACGTTGAATCGAGGTTGTACTGTATTTCCTCTATATGAAGGATTGTCTTCATGCAGAATTTTCTGCCAACATTTTGGATACCTTCATATTAAAATCTTAAGGGATCACTTACAGTAAACAAGACAAAATTTGGTAACAATATTTACTGAAAAAGCATTGTGGAAAAATATAACAAATCACCAAATATTACTGCATTGTTGGTCTACAAAAAAGTATCATTACTTGGAATTTTTTCCATTTTACTTCTTCCTAGATAGTGTTTTCATGAGTATCCAAGACCTCCAGCAGGTACTGTAATCTTATAATAATAATACTGTAATAATAATAATAATAATAATAATAATAATAATAATAATAATTTATTCACAAGAAGGTACAATGGGTTGGTAAGATTACATAAGATTGGTATTTTTACATTCTTTCAAAGCCATTAACACGCATAGCATTTTGGGCAGATCCTTAATCTAACATATCAGGTAAGATGAAAAGGTACATTGTAGCAAGGTTTTATATCAGCAGATAACTACAATATAAATTGACAGAGGTGATTACACTGGAAAAAAAATTTATCTTAAGAACTAATATTGGGGAAGTGGATAGTACAAGATTCAGTGTGCGTTTGAAGCACAAGCACAAACTATGAGGATGAAATCAAGTAATCTTTGGTTTTACTTTTGAATAAGGTATAGGTTGGACAATTTTATATTTATTTTATTTATTTATTTATTTATTTATTTATTTATTTATTTATTTATTTATTTATTTATTTATTTATATATATATACAAGAAGGTACATTGGGTTTGTTAGGATACATAACATGGTGTTTACAGTCTTGTAAAGCTACTAGTACGCGCAGCGTTTTTGGCAGGTCCTTAATCTAACAGATAATTTTAAATAGGTAAATTCTAGCAAAATTTATAAAATGATAACAGGTACATTGCAAGAAAACAAATGAGATGAGAGAGATTAGTAGGTATATTAAAGCACATCGGTAGCCCTGATTGATTGCATTGACAGCTTGATTGGTAATTTAACAAAGATTAATATTAATAACAATATATTAGTATGTACAATACAGCATATTGATAACACATATAAGAAGACAGCAATGATCAAAATGGTAAAGTTGTTTGGATTAGGTACATAAAGATTGGGAGATTGGGTAGTACTAGATACAGTGCAATTTTACAGCACAAGGTAGAAAACTATGAAGATGAAATTAGGTACTTTTTGTTTTTGTTTTTGAATAAGACAAAAGTTGGACAGCCTTTCAATTCATTAGGGAGTGAGTTCCATAGACTAGGTCCCTTTATTTACATAGAGTGTTTACACAGATTAAGTTTGACTCTGTGGATATCAAAGAGATATTTATTTCTGGTGTGGTGATAATGGGTTCTATTACATCTGTTCAGGGAGAGTTTCAAAACAGGGTTTGCATTTAAGAACAGGGTTTTGTAAATTTAATTGACACCAAGAGAATGTGTGGAGTGAGTTAATGTTTAGCATGTTTAGGGATTTAAACAAGGGAGCTGAGTGTTGTCTGAAAGCAAAGTTTGTTATTGTTCTGATAACAGATTTTTGCTGGGTGATGATGAACTTGAGGTGGTTTGCAGTGGTTGAACCCCATGTACAGATACCATAATTAAGATAGGGATAGATTAGGGCATAATATAGTGAGAAGAGAGCAGAGTTAGGAACATAATATCTGATTTTGAAGAGTATACCAACTGTTTTAAAGACTTTCTTAGTTATGTATTGTATGTGGGTGCTGGAGTCTCTTGTTTAGGAATAGGCCAAGAAACTTTCCATCATTTTTATTACTGATGTTAACATTGTCTATCTGAAGCTGAATTGCATTTTAAATTCATCAGGAAGTGAGTTCCATAGACTGGGTCCTTTTATTTGCATGGAGTGTTTGCACAGATCTCTTGTTTAGTTTGATCTAGTTTGACTCTGGGGATATCAAAGAGAGATTTATTTCTGGTGTGATGCTCATGGGTTCTATTACACTGATCAAGAAAAAGTTTCAGATCAGGATTAGCATTTAGGAACAAGGTTTTGTACATGTAAATAACACATGAGAATGTGTGGAGTGAATGTATGTTTAGCATGTTAAGGGACTTAAACAGAGGGGCTGTGTGTTGTCTGAAGACAGAGTTTGTTATAGTTCTGATAGCAGATTTTTGTTGAGTGATGATGGGCTTGAAGTAATTTACAGTGGTTGAACCCCCATTGGGTATTATTGACCAAAAGGTCTCCTGGTGTGTTCTTTGCCCTGTATGTACAGTATCCTAATTATTGGATCTTTAATTTATATGAGACCTCTCATGATACAATTTCATTCAACTACTATTTTATTCAGCAGTTAGGCATACAACTCTTATTAACAGTTTTGAATCATGTATTTGCTGTTTCCAAGATTAAATGTCCTTTCATTAAGGAATGTCAAGTCATCAGCCTTATCTTCACTCTTTAGTTGCCTTTTACAACATGCAGAAATGTGTAATGTCTATTCTGTTTCATGTTCATCATTTGTATCTCCATAGAATTCATGCTGTTGTCTAAAAAATCATCAAATTCCCTTATCCTAATAAATATCAGTTGATAATAATAATGCCTTAAAATTTTGTTTCGCTATTTTGCAGAGTTGTTGTTTGTGTATCAGATTTATTTATTTATTTATTTATTTATTTATTTATTTATTTATTTATTTATATATACAAGAAGGTACATTGGGTTTGTGAGAATACATTGGATAGTACAGTATTTACACTCTTGTAAAGCCACTAGTACGGGCAGCGTTTCGGACAGGTCCTTAATCTAACAGATAATTTTAAGTAGGTAATTTCTATCAGAATTGATAAATGATAAAGATACATTGCAAGAGAAAAGTGAGATGAGAGAGCTTAGTAAGTATATTAAAGCACATTGTTATATTAAAGCTCTGATTGATTACATTGACAGCTTGATTAGTAATTTAAACAAGATTAATATACACCATACAGCAGATTGACAGCACATATAAGACAGCAATGATCACAATGGTAAAGATGTTCAGATTGGGTACATAAAGATTGTGAGACTGGGTAGCAATAGATACAGATAAACAAGATTAATAAACACCATACAGCAGATTGGCAGTACATATAAGAAGACAACAATGATCACAATGGTAAAGATGTTCAAATTGGGAACATAAAGGTTGGGAGATTGGGTAGCAATAGATACAGTGCAATTTTAAGGCAAAAAGTGAAAAACTATGAAGATGAAATTAGGTACTTTTTAGTATTGATTTTGAATGATGTAAAAGTTGGACAGCTTTTCAATTCAATAGGGAGTGAGTTCCATAAACTGGGTCCCTTTATTTGCATAGAGTGTTTACACAGATTAAGTTTAACTCTGGGGATATCAAAGAGATATTTATTTCTGGTGTGGTGATAATGGGTCCTATTACATCAGATGTTTTCATTTGTATTCCAGCAAATGGAAAAAGACCCAAGTTGATGGCAATGCAGCAACTGTCAACAAAGTTGTAGATTTTGTATCCGCCTCAGTATACATTAATCCTGGAGGTCAGCATCAGCGGCTAGTCAAGCCTCACACAAACTCAGAACTATGGCATCAATATCTGCAACAGGGGCTTAAGACATTCTCCATTAATGATGAGCCATTTCAATTTGGTATGTTGATGAATGTTTATACACCATTTTCTGTTATTGATACAACCTGTTCTCTTGAATAATACATTGTATTTTGATGTATAAATCCCCAAATGGTCAAAATATGATGTACAAAATAATAAATCAAAGCAGCTCACAGAATTGACAGGCTATCATATATTCTATTCGTGGGTCCTCGGCTAGGTTAGGTTCCGGCAATTTAGTACAGTACATCATTTGTGTGACACTATGACAATTTGAGAGGGATGTACTGATTGATAATTTATTCTTGATATTTTTAGTGTCTTCAGGCAGTCATATAATAATGTTTCTTAAATGAGTTTTATATTCCAGTTTTTATTTTTGTTCAGGTGTAATATAACCATTCTAATGCCAAACCCACACATATGAAAAGAAAGGAAAGTGGTCACGACTTGATATGGGTCCAAGATTGATCAAAATGTCATCACTTCACTATCATTCATATATGTGTGTGTGGATTGGATATTAATTTTCAGCTACATTATTGTGACTAATTCTCTGCCTTACTATTCTCTCTCTAACTGTATTGGTCACTAGTTATTCAGCCCGTGCGATGCAAAGTAAAGATGCGGCAACAGATGAAACGCGAGGCAAGGGTCCCGGGGCTCTTGGTAGATGCTGTAATTAAGGATGCTGCACTTGCACTGTCGCATCGGCAGTATGTTGCACTCAACGAGTTATTAGAAGCTTTCAAAATAATTAATGCGAGCAGGTGAACCATCCTAGTCTCTTACTCCTTATTTTCATTGCCTTTGAAACTTTATCATGATTCTTTCTCAGTGAAATATTTGTTTTATTATCATAATGTTATTTTAAAACATTATGTTTGTTTGGTATAATATATTATTTGAAGATACCTATTTGTTGGGAAAGAATCTTATGTTGCATATAGAAAATGGCTTAGGTCATTAGTAAATTCTGTAGTTAGATGCCATATGTATGGTGCAACATTTTCTTTTCATAAATTGCTGCATTGTTTAAGAGATCAAAATATTTGATGTTGTACTGAACTCCAAAGTTAAATTCTGATGTCATAAGCAATATATATTATTTTTTTATCCATAAGTGTATCATGAATTCCATTATTGACCTTAAACTTTCAGGCGCTTTATGAAGTACCGACCTGAAGTGCCCTTAAAGCGCCATGCAGAGGAATGGTGGCGGTATGCAGCAAATGCCATAATTAAAGAGCAGATTCGATCTTTCTCGTGGGATAACATTAAGAAGCATAGGTAAGGTAGGAATTTGGTAATATTTCTTTACTACCATTTATGGTTTACAGTTACTTACAATTTCTCAAATTCCAAATATATAAGTGTGCCTGTTGACTTTAAAACAATATGCAGTGTATCATGCTTTTATCCTCTGTTATTTTATATAAGTTGCTCAAACTTCCAGAACTATTACAGGTCCATATATAGGGAGTATACAGCTCTATACATGAAGCATCTTCTAGAAGGCTACAGTGGTGAACTGGAGGCCGATTTAATGAAGCTAGAAGACACTTTAAATCTTACCAACATTGTCCTGGCTCGCATGCATGCCAAAATCAAGGTAGGTAATGATCCATTGGGAAAATCTGGGAAAATGACATTGATGTAACAAGGATTCAACATTGAAAATGTTGATCGATGTTGATTAATTGTTACTTGACCTGATTTTGCCCATTGGGTTTAAAGATTTAGTTTTGTGGTACAGTATTTCTTTTGGTTTCCCTTTGTAGAAGACAGAAGACAAAAAATCTGTGCTTTTTGGCTTTTCAAGGTCCCTCTAATCAATAACAGACCATTCCAATGCGAAGAGTGCCTCACAGGTGCCTGGTGTGACTGTTCTGTCTGGTAATGGTCAGTGCATTAAATGATGGAAGCTACAGAGGAGGGTGCTCAGAAAGTGTTTCTAATCTGATCATGTATAATTCACGGTATCAATTAATGGGTAATTACATACTACGCTTGTTACTGTTCAATTAAAGTTTAAACTTAAATTGGAAATGTTGTAAAGATTCTACACTGTACCGATGTAATGGGATTTTTTTAACAGTTTATCAAGCAAGTTTAAAAATATTCATATGAACACAAGTCTACAAACTTTGTAGGCTTATATTAATATCTATTTCATCGTACTATAGTTCTAAAATTTTATTTTTATACATCTCCTTGTGTGTGTTTCAATATAATTGTAGTTTTAATAATTTAATGAGATTATTTGATTATCAGAGATTCCCTTGTTGTTTTTGAATGTAGATCTCTCAGGATGAGCCAAGTCTTGTCCATGCAGTAGAGCCTTCCACTACAGGCTGGTTCTCTTGGTTGTGGGGGAGAGATGGTTCTTATGACATAGATGACGAAGAGACTGTGGACATTGTGGGGTCTCGTAGGAAGAATGGACCATTCACTTCCCTAACAGAAGATGAGCGGAGGCAGCTTCGTTCAGCCCTCTTGCAATTAGATGCACCAGGAGATGATTTACATCGAGATGACATTGGTATGGTACAGCTAAGCCCAAATTTATAATTGATAAAGTAAATTGTGTATGCTCTTTCTTACACTTATGGTATTGCATAAATCCTTGAATAGAATTGTTTAATGAAGTTAAAAGGTAAAGTAATAGGTGAAAATATGAGGATGTGATAACTTTAGTAGTGAAATAATTGGCCTCAGTCACACAGTGAAGTGTTATTATGAAACATGTGATGAGTTCTTTTGATGTACGATGTGTTTAGCTGCACTCAGACATAAGTGTCATTTGGTGGTTTTTCCATTTTCTCTGCCACCACACTGTACTTTCCAGTCTGGCCCCCTCAAACTCAACTCTTCTGAGCTTAAGCACTGATACCTTGGGTGCTCCCAACCTATACCAAGCTCCTGACTTACATACACATACTGAGAGTCAGGACAAGAATCTGACCCTCTCACAGAGGCATGAGGAGCTAGAAATCAAAGATTGACCATAGCCTAAACACAGGAAATTGGCAAACACATCACTGGCAAAACAAAACAGATAACGGCTTTGAAGAACATAATAATAAATGAAACTATAGAAGGCTTATTGACCAATGCCAAGCAGCTCCTATTTATATATACTGTATATCCATTTATAGTCCTTTTGAATCTTCTCACTTCAGGATAGTGACTGGAATTTATTTGCTCTTGTGAGGCTTGTTATTGAGAAGTTGAAGTAATTACAGTAACTGTATGCAACTGTGTATAGCACTCAACTGTGACACATGTGTGACTGTATGTTGATGCCTTGTGCCTCTTTTGGATGGGTGCTTGGGCAGTGTTAAGTGATTCTTTTCTGTCTGACATTTCGTATGCCCTTCTTTGTCACTTGATAGTCAAGGTTAGATGTTTGCTTCTCCAACAATGTTTCTCTTCAGATGTTGCCAGCCATTGTTTATGGCTTGGCCAGACAGTTTTTGTGCATTCAAGTGGCTACCTTGGCTACCTACCTTGTGTAGCTTCTGGGTATTAATGACCTCGCAGCCCAGTCTCTGACCAGAAGGTGTGCTTACCTCTCTCCTCTTATTGGTTGGGTTGTGATGGTTCCCACTTTAAATTCATAACCAGACTTTGCTGCCTGAAACTTTTCAGGATGCCAACTGTTGTTTGCTTTGTGTCTTAATTTTATTTATTAAGAATATTGGTTTCTTTTCTGGAGGGGGGGGGGGAGGAAGCTCCTATGGCTTCACAGAGGTAACTGTGCTGATATGAATGTATTAGACCCCTGGCATCAGTCTAAGCAAATGGAGTTCTAGGCCTACTGGGGACCACGAGGCAGAACCTGGCCCCCCTCTAGAGAAGCATGAGGAGCAATGGCCTATAGAAACACCCCGTGTGGTTCGAAGCATTCTATGTCTGCCATCGACTGAGTCAGGCACCCAGAAAGGTAAGCGCCCCAAAACAAACCCCTATTCTGGTTAGGAAATTGCTACTGAAAGCCAAACCCGTGGACAGAACTCCCCAAATGAAAACAAGCAAACGAGCATGACGTCACCACGTCACTGCGCCACTGTCTGCACAGCTTCCCTTGAAGGGGACCTAACCTTGAAGGTGTCACCTGGGCAGTGACACCTTCGATCCAGAGTCCTGTGAGTTTTGTTGCTTGTTTGTGACTCAGTACACCCAATCCACTGACTCTAAAAGCCCAGAGGCTGTCCCGTTTTGGTTATAGGGACCCGGACTTGAGGGTATTAGTCGCTTCGACTTTGGTTCAGTCCACACCCCCTCATCCTTTCCCTGCTGTGGTTTGTTCTGGTTCTCTTCCCCCTGCTTGCGGCTCCGAAACGTCTGAGTGTTTTGGAGTCGGTGCAGGATTTAGTTGGTGTGGAGACTCGGGCAGTCATGGGGTATGCCCTTTCCAGGGCGGCGATGGAGGCATTTGAGCCGGTTCCTCCTGCTGAAGTATCTGGGTCTGACCAGTGGGCCTCTTTCCTTCCTTCCTGCTTTTCCAGCTACTCCGGCTTTTCCTTTTGAGGCTGGAGCTTTGGGGGTGGCTCGGCCCTGGGTCCTGCTGTGGAGGTTCCTGGGACTGGGAGGGGTTGATTTGGGGGACCTTGGGCCCCGTTGAGCCCCACTTGGGTTTTTGTACCCTCTTGAGCAGGGCTTGCTGTTGCAGGGGGGTGAGGTTTTCCTTCACCCGCTCTGAGTTCAAGTTGCATTTGGTGTCAGCTCCTCCCCAGGGGTTTGGTTCCGTGTCCCTTCTGTCGGTTCTGTCCTTCTGGAGGTTTTCGGCTTCCCACATCCCGCCTCAAGAGATCTGGGAAGCCATTATGGCTTATTTCCTGCGCGACCCGGATTACACCTTTTTAATGGATCCATCTCATTCAGGTTTCGATCTTCGTTTCCTTACTGGGTTCGTTATGAGGTTCTGGAGTCATCCTGGCTTGCGGACTGCCCTGTTTTTTCATTGGAGGCTTGACATTGCACCTCATTGCATGCTTGTTCGCCCATACCCTTCCTCGGGATGTTGGCATCATGTATCTTCACATGCAGGTTCTCACCCTTTCGGCTGCACTGGTTGCTGAGGATTTGAGTGCTCGTGGCCTGTTGGCTTCGGTCTTGTGTTTCTTTTCCCTCCTGGAGCTGTCCTCGGATTGGCTTGAGGAGGATGTGGAGGCACTCGAGGCTGTTCCTGGGTCTGGTGCCTTGGTCTTGGCAGCGCGTGCATCATCTGCCCTGTTGAAGCTGTTCGCACCGATCCTGTGGGAAGCGGTGTTTCTGTTTTTTGCTTCTTGTCTTGCTTATTGGTAGTCGGTGCTCGCAACCTCCTTGGAATCTGCTTAGACCCTGATGTTAGGTTTTGGTCGCCTTTTTGTCCCTTGTTGTTTGCGGACTTTGCGGTTGGGCAGTATCTGCAGGCAACCTCTTTCAGTTGTCATCTCATCTTAGATTTGTTGGTTCTTTGGGGGGCCCATGGGGGTCTTCCCAGAAGGGTCATGTCAGGGCTCGGGGTTCTTCTCATTGTGATAGGCCAGTGGTGCCAGTTTCGGGGCTGGTGCAGCCTTCAGAACCGCCTTCGTCTGGTCAGTGCGGTGAACGCTCTGTGCGGAGGTCGGGTTCACGTAAGGGGCATCAGCCCTTTCGCTGTTTGTCCCATTGATGGGGCGATGAGTGGGAGGCTCGCTCTGTTTGCTCATGCCTGGTCTCATGATTTGTGGGCTTTTTGGGTCGTTTTGGGAGGCCTGCAGTGGCATTAGGTGGCCCCTCCTTTGGGGGGCTTGGGGGCTGGCAGGGCAGGCCTCTTCTCCTCTGCCCTGTCGGGTTATCTCAGAGTGGGTATGCTTGGGTGTAGTTGAAATGATGACATCATTCATGTGAGTTTCCCATCTGTTTCCAGTCCCAAAACAGGACTATGCAGACCTGGGCAAGTCCAGACATTCTGGAGTTGTCTCATTTGAACCCCTGGGACTATTGCCCCTCCTTTCGGATGACTGCTCTGTCCTAGGTCTGGCTTCTCTTGGAGCCGGGCACTTGGATGGTATCTCTGGACCTCTGGGACGCATATTGACATGTTCCGATTCACATGAGGTTCAGGGAGTGGCTCTGTTTTGTTGTGGGACAACAGGGTTACCGTTTCCGTTGCCTTCCTTTCGGCTTGAATCTGGCACCTCGCATTTACACATACCTTACTTGGGTCGTGATGACCCATCTGCATCTGTTAGGGTTCAGGTTCTTTCCCAGCTCGCTGGGTTCGGATTCCTGGCGAACTTGAGAAAATCCCATCTGGTTCCCTCTCATTTCGGTCTTAGCTGGGTCTTGTGTGTGACTCTCGGACTGCTTCCTTGTCTCTTCCTCCGGAATCTGATTCGGCTGCAGTCCTGCCTTTGCCTGTTTCTGGGGAGGGGCTCCTGAGTCACCCGGCAGTTGGCAAGGGTTTATGTGGGAGCCTGAATTTTGCCGTGATGGTCTACCCGCAGGGTCGGGTTTATCTTCGTCAACTGTTCTGGTTCCTTCGGAGGACGTCCCTTCCGCCTCTCTCGCAATCCCTGGGTTTGGCCTCTGGGTGCCTTGTGTCAGCTGCTACATCGCCGGCTTCCTCTTTGGGTTTTTTCGGGGTTTAGTGCCTGGGCACCTCCCTGAGCCCTCACTTAATGTGTTCACAAACACGTCTCTTGGCTGGGGTTTTGTGACCAGTGCTTACCAGGCCGGCCAGGGGCGGTGGGATCTGTCCTTCCATCTGGCCCACAGCATGGTGCAAGAGTTTGTGGTGGTGTGGATGTCGGTTCGGAGGGTTCAGGTCGCTCGCGGATTGACGATCCGGCTCCATTCGGACATTGTCCCAGTGGTTCATTACCTGAATCGAGGGGGTTCGATGCGCTCCTTGGTTCTTTGGAGCTTGTCGCTTCAGGTGACTACTTGTCTGCTGAATTCTCGGGGTTTGGCTCTCCTGGCCGTTCACGTTCAGGAGGTAGCCAACGTCCTGGCAGACGGCCTGTCTCGGTTCATTTCCCTGTCCACGGAATGGATGGTCAACGCCAACTCATTCAGTTGGCTTTGCTGGATGTACGGGCTCCTGGAGGTGGACCTCTTTTCGTCTGTGGGGTCGAGGCATCTCCCGGTATACGTGACGCCCTTTCCCGATTGCGAGGCCGTCGGGGTCGATGCCTTGCGGCATGGCTGGTCAAGGTGGAGTTACTTGGACCTCTTTTCCCCCAATTCAGCTGTTGCTCCAGGTCCTAGCTCGCTTGGAGACTTACCAAGGGAGAGTAGTCCTCTTGGCTACTTGGTGGCCGGCAAAGCCTTGGTTTCAGACGCTGGTTGCTCTGTGTCCAAACACAGGGATCTTCCCGCGGCTCCGCCTCTTTCACCAGATCGGACCGGTCCATTATGATGCTGGTTCGATCTTCTCGAGTCTTTGCGTCTGGTCTTTCTGACTCGAGTCTATCACCATTTGTACGGTGAGCAGGTGGCTTCGTTGATGGTGTCCCACCAACGAGCTCGGCATTGATGTTACTTCTGAACCGTTCTGCAAGATGTCTTGGGCATTGTTTCACCTTCTTTCTGCTCATGCGCTGCCTTTGCCGTCCTGGTCCTTGGATCGGGTGCTCTCTTTTCTCTCTTTCCCTTGGTTTGTGGTGACCCCTTCGGTTCAGGATTGTTTCTCCAAGGCTCTTTTCTAGTTGGCATTGGCCTCTGGGGGTCTTGTCGGGAGCTTCATGCTCTCCTCTGGCAAAGTAGTTTCTGCTTTTTCGGTTCTGGTGGTAGGTTTGTTTATTTGCAGCCGTCACCTTCTTTTCTGGTGAAGAATAAGACTGCTGCCTTCTGGAGGGGTCCTTGGGTTGTTGATGCTTGGTTGGTTCGGCCGGGAGTGCATCATGTGTTGTGTCCGGTCGCGACTCTCTGCCGTTTCCTGGGCGCCACGGCCTCTATGCCCAGGGATTTGCTTTTAATTGACCTGGTTTCCCTTCTTCCCTTTTCTAGGGTTCGGGTTTCTCAGGTTGTCTGCAGGGTTATTCGGTCCAGCCAGCCTGCGGTCTATTCCCGTGCCCACGACAGTTGTAAGTTTGCTGCACTAACTGCCGTTTTTGGTAACGTGTCTTGGGCTGATATTCGGGCGTGGAGTTTTTGGAGGTTGAACTGGTTCCTGACTGCTCACTACCTTGTCAATGTTCCTGGGCCTAGTTGGGGCTGTGACCCTCCCTCTGGTCGGCGGTTTTTCGCGTGTTTTTGACATTCAGCCTCAGAACTGGGGTGTGGATAGCCAGCACAAGGGGGAGGGGTCTGGCTTCCCCTTCCCTCTTCCTGGGAGGGGGGAAGCTTCGCAGACAGCGACATGGTGATGTCATGCTCTTTGCTCGTTTTCATTTGGGGAGTTCTGTCCACTAGTTCGGCTTTCAGTAGCAATTTCTTAACCAGAATAGGGGTTTCTTTTGGGGCGCTTACCTTTCTGGGTGCCTGACCCGGTCGATGGCAGACATAGAATGCTTCCAACCACACAGGGACTTGTATAGGCAATTGCTCCTCGTGCCTCTCTAGACAGGGGCCAGGTTCTGGCTTGTGGGCCCCAGTAGGCCTTGAACTCCATTCGCTTAGACTGATGCCAGGGTTCTAATACATTCATATCAGCCCGGTTAGCTCCGAGGAGCCTCCAGATCTCTCCCAGAAAATGCCTTTTCATTACATTCAATGCTGGGTTTTTTTCTATGCAGGCAAGTATTAATTACGTCACCTGTATGACAGTTGAACAAACATGTTGAATTCTTTGGCAAGCATTCTAGATGTTCCTTAAAAAATCTTCACACATTTGTAGGCCTCTGAAACATCTGAGAAGATGTTAAAAAACCCCATGACATACCAGATTTCTTAGAATTAAAAAGACATCACCATTATGAATAGATTTAGGAGACTAACATATGTATTATTTATACATTTTAGGAGAAATTTATGAACGAGAGAGGAATAATAATGGAAAACTGTACTGTATTCAAGAAAGTTATTAAGATTACAACACAACAGTTAAAAAGAAATCTGATAGATAGTTACATAGTGGTGAGAGAATGTAGGAAGGGAATGAGACTGTTGAAAATGTGGAAAGTTATGTGAGAAATAGATGGTTGTGTATACAGGTGGTGTCTTCACCCATTTCTCTAGGTGGGAACTGTTGCCAGATGTTTTCATCAGAGACATGTCAGTTGTTCATGGTTTCTCTTAAACATAGTGGCTCCTCTCACAATCACTTACATCTTAATCATGCCTTTCTTAATTATTTTTCTCATCTGTTTTTGTGTTCCAGATCACAAAGCATATTTGTCTTTACAAAATGTGAGCCTAACACTTAAGGATGATGTGCACGATGTCGCCTTAGCTTCACTCTCTGGATTTGTGATGAGTGCAGAAAATCGGTATGGTGTTAAATATCAGAAATTATCTGTGAAGGCAGAATCGTTTAACTTGGAAGCTTCAAATATGGAACAAGAACTGGTGTATATCATGAAGTTAGTGGATGGCACTCCATCAGCAGGTACTGTAATGATATGCTTCATTTTAATTTTAATGAACTTAATCACTCAGATCTTGGCTAAAGTAATTAAAGCATTTCTACTGATGTATGCTTATCAATCATTGACAAATATTACAGATAATCTTTGTACTTTTTACAAATTAATATTAATATAAACATTAAACTACAATAATAATTATTATGAATAAATATTATAAATAATCATTTACAGATGTTTGTTATAATGATTGATGAATGTGGTATCCCCCACTAGCCATCTTCTCTGTCTTCTTCCTTTTAATGGTAAAATACCTTCCCACCCTCTATATAGAGGGACATGCAGTAATGATGATGGTTATCATCACCCCCCCATTTCTTATTTTCTTAGGGTGGGAAAGTGTCAGCCCATAGACAATAAAGAAACTAAACAGAAAAGTGGCAATTATATTTAAAATGTATGAAAGGTCCATTCACCATATGTTAAACATTAGACAGCACTGCAAAGAGTCAGCACTGTTAAAAGCGTGCAACTCATTGTGAGCGTTGTCACAACTCCATTATTACTGGGAATAAATTAAATTTTTCAATTGGTAGTTTTCGTTTCATTGTGGATTACTTACACTACTGTACTTTGTATTAATTGTATTTTATCTAATTTGTTTAAATTTTATGTTGTGTGGTTTTGTCATTTTGTGTAGTATACAGTATATGGTGAATAGACAGGTATAATTTTGTATTAGTCTTTTCTTCCTTTAATGCTTTCTTGTCTTCAGGCTGTTGCCTTCCAACCTCATGAAAGTGGGGGAAGGGGGTAATGATGATTATGTGTGGATCATACAGTAATTCATCTCTTTCCACAAGTTTGCTATTTAGATCTGCAAAATGCTTTATTCATGATGGCATGAGGTTTTTTTAACAAGATTATTTCTGGAAAAGCCCTCTCAATAGCTTCCCAAAGCGTACATGTTGGTACTGTATAGCCAGGTCTTAGGGAGCTTATTTGACCTTTATGTGGCATGCTGACCAACTAGAATCCAGGCCTACACTCTTGCTCTTTCTGAGGCAAAGGAAACTTAGGGTGCAGAGATATATCCAAAACTGAAAAAAAACAGCTGCCACCAGATGGCAGCCCAGGTTATATAGGTCCCATCCCTCTACCCACTTCACTGACTTGCATGGTGTAGTTTGAATAGGACTTCTCTGTAGGGACTCCTGTTTTGTTGCCTTATTCAGCTAAGAAGTGTTGGTTATCCCTAAAACTTTTGTTCTGCATAGTATCATTACTTTGTTTCATGTATGCTCCATGATTGTTTAATACCACCCACTTAGCATTGATGAATGCTAATGATGAATGCCACCCACATCCATTGGGGAGCCGGTCGGCCGAGCGGACAGCACACTGGACTTGTGATCCTGTGGTCCCGGGTTCGATCCCGGGCGCCGGCGAAAAACAACGGGCAGAGTTTCTTTTACCCTATGCCCCTGTTACCTAGCAGTAAAATAGGTACCTGGGTGTTAGACAGCTGTCACAGACTGTTTCCTGGGGGTGGAGGCCTGGTCGAGGACCGAGCCGCGGGGACACTAAAGCCCCGAAATCATCTCAAGATAACCTCAAGATAGCATGCTCCTTAGCTTTTATTTCAGTCCAGCTGGAAACTAGGGCCATCTTTCCTTGTGACCAGCTTGCATCTCTCTTTCTCTACCAGGGATACCTTCTCTGAGGGGTTTGGAATCTTCCTTTATGATCCTGGATACCTTTGTACTACCTAGAAGCTACCTAGCTTCCAGGTAGTACATGGAACTTCTCCACTGCAATGCCTTTTGATGTAGTCAGCTGTGTGCTAGTATGAGTATTGCTCTTGGCCCTGATTCATGTGTGTGAATAGTGCTTCGCACCTTTTCTAGATGTGCACTTGGGATATAACTGAACAAACTACCCAGAGAGATAAGGCATCTGCAGCTATGGACAAGAACAATCATACCATCCAAACACACCCTCAACTTAAGTCCAGGACCCAACTTCATAGAGTGCAAAGTCAGGTACGATAGCCATACAAGCATAAGCTAACTTCTGTCACTCCTCAAAAACAGATCTTGCAGTGGAAAGGAAGCCCATGCCCTACCCAGAAGCAAGATGAAGAGAGAGAACTGAACTCAGAGAAGAGGATACCCTAGCTCTCCTGAGAAGCTAAGTCTGGTGGGGCAAGAGAGGCAAGTTGGCTGCCAGGGAAAGAAAACCCTGACACATAGCCAGAGCAAAATTTAAATATAGGCGACACTCAAAGTGAGTAGTTCAAAACACAAATGTGAAGCAGGAAATGGAACAAAAGCAAAGCAGGGGTTGTACAGGACTAAACTTCCCAAAGATTGCCAGTACTACTAACATGAAAGTGTGAAGCTGAATGTAGGCTCAGCTGAGACATGTGATCCAGGCAGCAAAAGCCAAGTGAATGAGGACCAATTGGCGAGAACCCCAGGTTATCTGCTTTGTCATCTAGTAGCAGTTGGGTGCATCACAGGTTGGGTAAGTACCTGCTGCAACAATGATTTGCCTTGTTTTCCTTAGGTTGCTAATTTCCTTAAAGCAGTTACTTGTTTTAATGTGCTTATGAAACCATGATGGTTTCTTCTTGGTTTTGGGTTGATCTTAAATCCCCAAGCTCCCATCTCCCTTAGAGAGCCAGATTCTGGTCCTGGATCCCAGCAGGTTGGTCTCAGATGCCTGGTGCATCTGAGACTGAGTTCCCCAAGTCTTGACAGCCCAAGTACTACAGCTTTGGGGAGCTAATAAGAGGTTTCTCTCAAAAAGATCTTTGAAAGATTTCTGGATTTCATTCCTTTTATTTTCATCTAATCTTAAGTTTAATTTTTGTTAATTCGGTTTTTGGGAGGTTTTCTAGGACTGCGTTCCTTACAGAAATTGAGGATTAACTGTATCAGCATTATCATTTATTTAATTTTTTTTATTTGCAGGTTACGGGATTGCATTTTCAGTTGATTTAGAACGTAACCCCTTGAATGTGGCATCTGATTATGCTGTGACATTAAAGCTTGATCCCCTGGAATTTCTCTACAATCAGGTACTTATGATGTTTTGCTTGGCAGACTTATGAACATTGAATTGTTTTATAAGTTAAAAAATATTGATTATTTACTTTCATTTGGTGTACAATATCTTAAATATCCATCAATGTAGCTTTTCTTGTTACTCATTAGATATTTGGTTCATTCTATTTTAACAGCATGCTTGTGCAGAGATGGTCTTCTTCTTCAGAGTGCCTGATATGGTGTACCGGTCCTTTGAAGATGTAGCGAAAGATACACTCAATGAAGTTGTCAATACTGGGAGGGCTGCCTTGGAGTATGCAATTGCTAGACACAAGACAGTCAATCTAGACATTGACATTAAGAGTCCTTATATTGTTTTGCCAGAACATGGTTCAATTCAGAAAGGTGGAAATGTATTGGTGTTAGATATTGGTGGTTTGAGGGTTAATAGTGAAATTGGTGGACAAACAGTAGACCTGGAAGATGCAACAAGAATGGAATTAGAGGAACGACTGTATGATCGTCTAACAATAACTATATCACAGCTACAGGTTCTGTTTGCAGATTCAGGAGATGAGTGGAGGGTCCATAGAACTAGAGATGACTCAGATTCTCACCTACTACCCAGAGTTAGAGTAAAAATTGATCTTGCCAACAGTATACATCCTGAATATCGGCAGCAACCACGGCAGAAAGTGGATATACACATAACTCCTCTCAAGCTTAATCTTTCAGACAACAAATTAAGTCACTTAGTGGAATTTGCTCACCATTTACCAGTGATACAATCTCATATGCTTGTCTCGGATTCTACTGATAGTATTACTATATTAAGGAGACATCAGTTGGACCCTTATCATTGCTTACAAGATCCAAATGTTTCAGAATTAACATGCATAAGAGATAGTCTGTCAAACAAACTAAAAAAGAAAAAAAAGAAATCGGACTCGGTAGATATTCACTCAACACCACCATTGCTTAGGCATGTCCGACCACTCTCACAGAGTGATACCATATCGCAGACAAGCCTGGAACTGGAGAGGTATTTTTCAACATCTGACAACAGTGATGATGAAGGGGAATCATGGGGCAAGCCAGTTGATTTACCAGGATTTGAAGATAATACTTCCCCAAAAAACATGATCACTGTCTTATCTCGCTTTTGCGTTGATGAAATTGTGATAGGCATATCTAGATCAAGTGAACATGGGGATAGACCCTATTTGATGATCAGAGCAACTCACTTAGTGCTAGAGTCAGCAATGATGGATTATGGTCCAGCTATACAGATAACACTCAATTCACTTCATCTTGTTGACAAGTATCATCACAGTCCAACAGGAGAATATTTAGAGCTAGTGTCATCACCACAAGTTGGCAGCACGTGTATAGCCACAATATTGTACCGGAAAGTCCGTGCTAATTGTCCAGACTTTAAAACACATTTTCATTCTTGTGAACAAAGCTTGGTCCTGGATTTTGCTACTCTTAATGTTGTGTGGCATCGAGGATCTATTATAACTCTAACAAATTTCCTCACGTTACTTTTAGCAAAATTGGGAAATATAGAACAGCAGATTCCTAAAGTCAGTATTCCTAACAGTGTTATATCATGGTTAAAGTCTGGTCCTGGAGATCCTCCAGTACCTTCAGGAGCATCAAAGTGGTCTTTTGCCTCTCACCTTAATACCCTCAATCTCAAACTCTGTGATAATGAAGTGGACTTCTTACAAGCCAAGATTGGGGGTTTCCAGGGAGAATGTGTTTTTAAAGCTAATGAAAAAAAGATCTTTCGAGCTTCTCTTTCTGAACTGTCTGTTGATGATGTATCTGATATAACTCTTCATTCAAGGATTATTGATATTGAAGAAGACAGAGTGTTTGACATAAAACTTGTTCATTTTAGCCCCACACACAAAGGTGTAGAAGAAATAGACACTTCTCCACATGCAGTTGATCCGGATGCTTCATTACGGATCAGAATTGGTAGAATACAGTGTATATTTCTTTGTAAATTCTTTGCCGATCTCCAGCGATTTATGGAGCCTCTTTTGAACAGAGAGGGAACACAGGTTGTTCTCAAACATGCTGAAAAAGCAGCTGAAGCAAGTATTGAAGGATTTGTTTCAGGAAGAAAACTTAGTTTAAGCATTGATATTCATGCTCCCACTGTTCTTGTTCCACAGAAATCTGATTCTCCAAGTTTATTGGTGTTTAGTCTTGGTTATTTAAAGATAGATAACCTTTTTAAAATTGCACATACAGGTGGAGGTGGGACAATTGAAAATGTGCTAGTAGAACTGGGTCCCATGCATGTTTGTCGAGCTGTGATGACTCTTGGGGGCGGGTTAGAGATGCAGGAGGATATATTGGAGCCTGCCACTCTGAGAGCAGATATCAAGCACTCACTTATACCTCAGTGCCGAGACCTTCTTTCGTGGGATGTTAGTGTTCATATGGGGACCCTCTGTATTAACTTGGGACAACGTGATCTTAACACCATATTAGCAGTTATGTCCCAGAACAGAGCAGAAGCTCAGTTTACAGACACAAGCATCCATTCCCAGCCATTAACACCAGTAGATCTTGGGACACCACTTGCAAGCAGTGATGATAATATGGGCAAACTACAAGCTTTTTTGACACACTCTGTAGACATTTACCGTATTGCAGATGCTCTTGTATCTTTAGATGGACTAACTGTTACACTCTATACTGATATGGATGAAGTACTAAGTTCACCAGTTCGTGATGCAGCAACTGCATTATGTCGCTTAGAAGTGGGAGAAATTGAAGTACACGGTGATATGAACAGTGATCGAAGTATGGATGTGCGACTCACTTTACAGTCCTGTGATTTGTTTGATGTTAGACCTGACAATGATTATCATGTAATTAAAAAAATATTTGGGCACTACAATACTGAACTGCAGATGACATCTGGAAGATTTAGTGTTAGTGTCCCTCCTATGATGGATCTCATGTACAAAGTTAGTCCTAGTGGTGATGCAGCAGTTGAAATAAGCATAGAGAGAACACGGTTAAATATGTCTGTAGGCTTTATGTTATCCCTCTATAAGTATGTTAATGAAGCAATTCCCAATACTGCAAGCACAAGTGGAGGGATTTTAAATCCAGGCTTTGTGGGTGACTTGGGTACAACGGTTGATGGTGTGAGAGTCATTCGACGACCTCCTAGTTCTGTAGATAGTACTAGTGGCTACCTCTCTACTGTTACTAGTAACACAGATGAACAGAAAACACTTTCAATTTCACTGAATGTTAAGCAACCAGAAATAGTATTATTTGCTGACCCTGAGGAAAAGACTAGTCGAGTACTGGTTATGAGATGTGAAATTCATGTGGATTATTCTCGACACCCTGGCAATGAGAGCTTCCACATAACTTTAGATGGGTGTCAGGTATTTGCAACTATGTATACTCATTCTGGCCAGAGTCCCTATTCTATTATGGAGCCATCTGACCTGGAAGGATCTTGGATATTTCGTAGTGTAGAAGAAGGTGTCAGAGCAGAGCTAAAAGTTTCCCACATTAACCTTCACTTAAATCCTCCAGTGGTCCATCTCTTGATGGATGTCACAGAAGAGCTGACTATGAGTCTTGGTCCACAGTTGGTGCCTATCAGGCTACACCTTCCTTCTGCTGACTTAGAAGACTTGTGGTCACCTAGACCACTTGTCGCAACCATCTCTCCAATAAATCCAGATGAAGAAGTGTACATTAAACCAGAATATCCTTCATCTAAACCACAGCAACGCTTTGTTATAAAGGTGCCTGCAATTACACTGTCACTTGAAAAACAAATATTAAAAACAGCAGTGCCTGTCCTCTTATTAAAGGGATCTATAAATGGAGAAATTAATGACTGGTCCAAGCTGATGTATACCAAAGCAGAAATTCAGTTACAGTTATCCTGTTACAGTGAGGAGTTTTCCACATGGGAACCTGTCATTGAACCTGTTAGTGACTCTAACAAGGTAATGAGGCCTTGGGAAGCCATGGTACGCACATTACAACATCAAGCTCAACCCATTGGTATAAAGCGCACTCGGCCAAAACGCCACTATGACTCTATTGATAGCAATTCCACAACCAATAGAAATAGTTATATTAGTTGCCCAGTAGAAGACTCTGAATCTTCCACTGATGAGGAATACCAGGATAATGAAATGGTGGTGCTCAGACCTCATCCATCATCAAAAATAAAGCGATCAAATGTCAAACATTCAACAGCTGACGTAGGACGTCTTTCAGGTAATGTACTCTTTTTTTTTTTAATTTGTTTATTTGAGATTTTTCAGTATTTAGAGTAATTATGAGAACACTTTATGAATATGGACTTTTATTTATTTATATACAAGAAGGAACAAATCCACAAGGACCATCTTGAGATGATTTCGGGGCTCGTCCCCGCGGCCCAGTCCTTGACGAGGCCTCCTTTTTGTTGCCATTTTGAGCCATGAGGAGGGTTTCAACCTACGTCCGGGATGATCCCAGATGCACCTTAGTCGACTGCGCCACAGCATGGTTAAAAGAATTGCAACCTGGAGTGCTACTGCCCTCACAAGGCTCCCGCAGCTTCTCTGAAGCACAGACTGGAGTTTTATACAATTCCATCATGCACTCGGGCTCTGTCAACCAAATGAGAGCCCAAGTGCTTGGAGAAATTGTGTAAAAGCCCAGTCTGTGCTTCAGAGAAGCTGCGAGAGCCTTGCGAGGGCAGTAGCACTCCAGGTTACAATTCTTTTAACCATGTCGTGGCGCAGTCGACTAAGGCGCATCTGGGGTCATCCCGGACATAGGTTCAAACCCTCATTACAGCCTTTGTGGATTTGTTCTTATGAGGCATCATGCTATTGTGATTTCTGTGTGTATACAAGAAGGTACATTGGATTTTGAGAGTACATAACATTGGTGTTCTTTCATTCTTGCAAAGCCACTAACACAGCATTTTATGCACGTCCTTAATCTAAGGGGATGAAAGTAAGAGTAATTAAAAGGTACATTGTAGCAGAATTTGATTTCAACATAATAACTACACTGTTATATAGCCAGCATTAGCTGGAGAGCTTCTCTTAATATGGCTGAAACATAGGTATAATAATAATAAAAATAATAATAATAATAATAATAATAATAATAATAATTTATTGAGGAAAAGTGCATACATAGTTGCAGTGTTACAGTACAAATATTCTGTTTGATTTAAAGATAGAGGTAGTACATACAATACCTAAAGCCACTAGTACGCATAGCGTTTCGGGCAATTTTGTTTTGGGCAACAGCGTTTCAGGCAATAAGGTAGTTTCTTAGGATGTGCCACTCATTTTTATCATTATATCTCTTTTCAGGTTATCCACTGGATTCAGACTCTGAAACTGAGGATGGTGTTCTTCATAAGATTTCCAGTGCTTTCATTCATATGTTTTCTAGTGACTCAGAGGGCTCCGAAGAAGAGGGCAGTAGTGATGACATACTTGAAGAAAGAAAAGTGACTGCTGAAGACATTGACGATGAAGGTTCAGAAAGATCAACTACTGAAGGTCAAGACACTCCTGAAGAAGAGGATGGTGTTGTATTTTCTACTCCTAAACTCGTTCCAGGTGAGTAGGTCTGAATTAGTGAGGTACTGCTACCCAAATTTAGGACAGTGACCGAGTTAATTATGATGCAAGGTACTGTATCTTGATCATACTTGTTCTAGAAACTTTATATCTCAGTAATAGTCAAGAAGGTTTCAAAGAGGTTGGGTATCTTTTTCAGGGTCAAGACATCTATATTGTCAGTTACAACACTGTAACTGTAAGTCGTGTTTGTCATTACCTGGAATACTGTTCTTATATCTGGAGGAGCTCTTTCTCTGCCAAAATTTGTGATGCAATTCAGAGGAAAGCTGAGTTGCATTGGGGGTGTGATGAATTAAGCTGGCCTTAAAATAATAATAATAATAATAATACTGTAATTTATTTGTCAAAAGGTACAATGGGTTAATGAGATTACATAGGATTGGTAGTTTTTTATTCGTGTAAAGCCACTAATATGCATAGTGTTTCGGGCATGTCCTTAACCACCGTGCTGCACTGAGTTTATTGTGAAATTCCCCCGGTGCGCATGAAATAAATGTTCCCCAAAAATACTTTTTGCTTCGTAAAATGATAAATTCCCTTCCCTGAACATGTCTATGTAAAAATAAATACCAAATTCCACTTACTTTGGCTGTGGGGACATGGACAAGGTGTGCTGTGTCGTCATCAGGGCCTGGTTGCCCGTGGGTGAATCACCCAGAGTCGCACAGGCCATTCAAGCATCGGGTGTTGCCACAAATATATTTTCAATTATTTGTTTTATGTATTTCCAATGCAATTTTATTTTTTTTATCGTATATGAGGCATATTTGTGTCCTTTACAATATATACAGTAGAACGTTCATAATGTTCCCTGGAACTGTGATACATGTGTCAGTAATGTGTCCACAATAAATGTTTATTGTCGCAATATTACTTGTTACAAATTCACTAAAATTACAATATGTACAGTTTCACACACTATTTACACAGTAACATACTGTATTACACACTCAGTACTTCGGAAGTGAGTAATAATCAACGAAGTAGCCCATGGTACACAGCGCGACTTCGCTCTCAGTACACCAGGTACAGATAAATTTTTGCTTCCTGTTTCTTCGGTCTGTGTGCTTGCAAATAACGCACTCACGTACACCCTTGGCTTTAGTGCTTGTAGGTTGTATGTAGCCAAGCTTGTAAAGCATAAGGTAGTATTGAAAAGATTATAGGAAAAGATCAATTTGTAAGGTAGAATGGAAAAGATCGCTTTGTATTGTGCCACACAGGAAGAGATTCAGCTTACCTCAAGAGTGTCCGTCAGTCAGAAAGAGATTCAGCTAACCTCAAAGAGTGTCTGTCAGTTAGGAAGAGATTCAGGTATTCTTGAAAATATTTATAGAAAACAACACCATGGAAGCCGCTAACACTGTTCATCTATGCTATTTGTATCAGATGCATCATCACTGAACGCAGAAAAGATTCATCTATGCATTATCTAAATAAATTGTAGATAGCATAGGATTGCAAGGGTGACGCTCAGAGCTACAACTGGATACGCTCGCTGTATCGCCCTCATAGGTGCTGTATCACTTGCATCCGACCTTTGTGTTAGGTCCTTATTGCGCCTAGCTTTACCAATATTATGACCCTTATGTTCTTCAAACAATAAGGTTTAAATTTCACCGACAGAGCGTTATCTTTCAACACCTTTCAACTCCGCGTTGGACAAGTGTTTGGGAGCCAGAGGCGCGTGCGCCACCCATGGTTGCTCATTCAGTACTAACCCAGCCAGCAGCCCTAGGGCATTCTGGGATTTTTTTCCAAGATGGCTGCCTCTCACTGGAGGTCCTGAGAGTCCATTTCGTACACAACCAACCTCGTACACATTTAGAATTGGTACCGAAAAATCAAAAAGAGTTTTCTCGGTTGGCGCAGTTTCCCGCCGACCGAGAATACTCGGTTGGCGCAGTTAAGTGGTTAACCACCGTGCTGCTCGGCCTTAAAATATGACATTCCCATTGTGCGCCGAAAATAAATTCTTTGCAAAAATTTATTTTCTCCTTTATTGTTAAAATGCAGTCTCTGATCATGAGAAACTAAAAAAAAAATCTTCAATGTGACATACTTTAGCCGTGATGGAGCTGAGAAGTTGAGCAAATTATGGGTGCTGAGTAATGAAGCACTTGGGGCCACTCATACTTGCCACCCTGTGGGACGGCAGTTGCCGCAAATATAATTTTTCACAATTGTTTTGATGTTTCTCATTCATTTCTTCTCCATTTTTTTGGTGTAATATTATTCAAAAGTGTAATTTGTGTAATTTATATAGTTCAATGTGTGGAACTATGCTCAAAATTATAGGGCTCATATACGTGACATGTATATTATGTTCTATGATCAATCAGTGTTTTTGCTGTTATTACACTACATACACACACATGTTGTATATACCTGTCTACATGTTTGTGTACTATAATGAACCACAAAGATCATGTGTTGAGGGTTTATATACACATAACAAGAATCAAAGGTCAGCCAAACGGCTAAGAGCTGAGTGTGGTAGGTACTGCCACAAATACATATTTACATAATTATTTCAGTGTCTGTGAATGGTTTTATATCTAATTTCCTGGGGGAGCCCCTTCGGGTCCCCGGAGCTATCCGGGCTGATATGTATATTGTTAGACTTTGGCATCAGTCAGTGTGAATGGAGTTCTAGGCCTACTGGGGACCACAGGCAGAGCTTGGCCCCCTTGGAGAGGCACGAGGGGCAGTGGCCTATAGAAATGCACATGTGATTTGGAGCATTTTATATCTGCCATCGACTGGGACAGGCTCTCAGAAAGGCAAGTGCCTCAAAACTATTCTGGTTAGAACGACTAAAATAGACTAACTAGTGGACAGAACTTCCCAAATGAAAACGAGCAAACGAGCATGACGTCACACGAGCTGTGCCGCATGTCTGCGCAGCTCCCGTTTTCCCGGGAGGGGGAAGGGGGAGCCCCAGACCCCTACCCCGGCAATCCACCCACCAGCTCTTTGGCTGATGTAATTGTGGTATGGTCATGTGGCTCCAGCTCCAGACTCTATCTGTGTTGTGCTGCACCATGGGGTCCAGTACTGCTCTTATGGTGGCGTGCGAGCTGGGAGTAATATTCACAGGTACTCGGGCTGCATGTGCTTAGAGTTCCCTTCCCTGAGTGCCCTGTAAGTACCACTCTTGGGGCTTGGAGTTATCTCCCACAAGTCACCTTGGGGTCTACCTCTGTTGGTCTTTTGCTGCTCGGCGATTGACCACTCCGAGTGTGTTGGGGGTTTCCTCCCTTGTTTGCCTTGGGGTAAATGATAGCTTTTGCACTGGTAGGGGCGCGGGGTACTGCGTAGCTACTTTTTTTCCCCTATAACAGCGGCAGGCTCTGTTCCTCCTGGGTACATTGTCCTCTTGCGAAGTTTTTCTTTTTCTTTTTGCTTGGTGGGGGTCTGCCTTTGTGTGTCTTCCCCCAGTTATATTAGGGTTGACCTGTTTTCGGTAGTACCCCCTGCTTGGCCCTCGTGAGTGGACACATACAGGGGGTTCATCTCTAGCAGTTTGTTTAGTAGCATTAGGCGCTGGTTAGCAGTACCCTGCCTGGGCTTAGCATTAACGATACCAGTCTAAGGGCCCTGGGAAACCCAGCGGGAGCACACGGGGTCAGATGGATGCGACCCCTGGGTCCTTCCCCCCTTGCCTTGTGCAAGTTTGAGGGTTGCTCTGTCTCCTTGTCTCAGGGCAATGCTCATTGTTTTTGCTTCCGTCAGGCTGTCTGTTGGGTCGGTGACACCTTCGACCCGGAGTCCTGCGAGCATTGTTGCTTGTTTGTGACTCAATTCACCCAATCTACTGATGACATTATTCGGGTGCAAATGGCTCAGGCATTGCAGACTAGCTTTAGGTTGCTGCAATGTGCTAGGTTGGTTGCCTTCCTGGATGCCCTGAGGCTGCCCCGCTTTGCTTACAGGGACCCGGACTTAGGGGGTGTTGGTCGCATTGGCCTTGGTTCAGTCCGCATCCCCTTGTTCTTTTCCTGCTGTGGTTCATTCTGTCCCCTCCCCCCCCTTCCCTGCTTCTGGCTCCTAAGTATCTGAGGGCTTCAGGGTTATGGCAGGGTTTAGAGGTTTCTGAGACTCAGGCAGTTTTGGGGATTGCCCCTTCCTGGGTGGCGACGGAGGCATTCGAGTCGGTTCCTCCAGCCGTAGCACCGGAGTCTGACCAACAGGCCCCCTCTCTTCCTGCTTTTCCAGCTGCCTCTGCTTTTTCTTGTGAGGCTTTGGGGGATGACTCGCCCCCAGGGCCTGATGTGGCGGTTCCCAGGGATGGGGAGGAGCTGACTTCGGGGCCTTAGGGTCCATTGGATCCTGCTTGGGTTTTCTGATCCTCAGAGCAGGGCTTACTCTTACATGGAGTGGGGTTTTCCTTTCCCTCCTCTGCGTACAAGTTGGATCTGGGTTCAGCTCCTCCCCAGGTTCAGTTCCGTATCCCTGCGGGTCCTTCGGTTCCGTCTTTCCTGAGGTTTTCGGCTTCCCGCGTCTCGCCTACTGAGGTGCGGGCGGCCATTGCGGCTTACCTCCTGCACAACCCAGAATATGCCTCTATAATGGATCCGTCTTCCTTGAGGTTTGGATTTTCGTTTCCATACTGGGTTCGTTATGAGGTTCCGGAGTTGTCCTGGCTTACAGACTGCCCATTGTTGTCATTGGATGCTTTCTTGAGGTTATCTTGAGATGATTTTGGGGCTTAGCGTCCCCACGGCCGGTCCTTGATCAGGTCTCCTTTTTGTTACACACCCTGAGGAAGCAGCCCGTAGCAGCTGTCTAACTCCCTGGTACCTATTTACTGCTTATTTACTGGCCAACATAAGAACTGCTTTTAGGAACTTGTGTAAGGAATCGTTCAGGACCCTGTATACCACTTATGTAAGACTAATCCTGGAGTATGCAGCTCCAGCCTGGAGTCCATACCTAGTTAAACACAAGGCAAAGTTAGAGAAGATTCAGCGGTATGCCACCAGGCTCGTCCCGGAACTGAGAGGAATGAGCTACAAGGAAAGGCTAAAGGAGCTGAACCTCACATCCCTGGAAAACAGAAGAGTAAGGGGAGACATGATAACCACCTACAAAATTCTCAGGGGAATTGACAGGGTGGACAAAGACAAACTCTTCAGCACTGGTGGGACACGAACAAGGGGACACAGGTGGAAACTTAGTACCCAGATGACCCACACAGACGTTAGAAAGAATTTTTTCAGTGTCAGAGTTGTTAATAAATGGAATGCACTAGAAAGTGATGTGGTGGAGGCTGACTCCATACACAGTTTCAAATGTAGATATGATAGAGTCCAGTAGGCTCAGGAATCTGTACACTAGTTGATTGACAGTTGAGAGGCGGGACCAAAGAGCCAAAGCTCAACCCCAGCAAGCACAATTAGGTGAGTACTGCTAGGTAACAGAGGCATCAGGGTGAAAGAAACATTTTGCCTGTTTGTCTCCGCCTCCACTAGGGATCGAACCCGGAACCTCAGGACTACGAATCCGAAGCACTGTCCACTCAGCTGGCAGGTAACCTTGACAGCCCCTGACAGCAAAGTGCTAGGGGCACTTTCTGTCATACACACATTCCGATCCTGCGGAATGCGCTGTCAAGGTTTTTTACTTCATGTTTTGTGTGTTGACAGGTTATGCTCGCTTCCTCCTTGGAATCTGCTTGGGCTCTGGCTCTTAGGTTGTTTTCGCCCTTCTGTCCCTTGCTCTTTGCGGACTCTGCGGTCGAGCAGTGTATGCAGGCGGCTTCTTCCAGCTGTCGTTCGATGTCCGACTTGTTGGTTGTCCGGGGGTTCCGAGTGGGTTCTTCCCAGAGGGGTTGTGCCAGGGCTTGGGGGTTCCGCTCGTTAGGGTACACCACAGGTGCCAGTTTCGAAGCCGGCGCCGCCTTCGGAACCGTTTGTATCTGGTCGGTGCGGTGTTCGCTCTGTGCGCAGGTCAGTGTCTCGTAAAGGGCATCGGCCCTTTTGCGGTTCACCCCATTGACAGAGCGATGGGTGTGAGGCTTGCTCTGTTCACTCACACTTGGTCTCACGATATGTGGCCTTTTCGGGTCGTTTCTCGCGGCTTGTGGTGGCGTTGGGTGGCTCCTCCTCTTTCGGGGGGTTCGGGGCTGGCGGGGCAGGCCTCTTCTCCTGTGCTCTGTTGGGTCATCTCGGAGTGGGTGCACTTGGGTGTGGATGAAACTACGGCATTTCTCAGGTGGGTTTCCCGCCTATTTCCAGTTCCAGTTTATCGTGCCACATACGCCAGTGTTGTGGTCAAGGAGGAATCTGGTGAGCAAGGGGCTGGTGTAATAGTTGTCAGTGTACAGGATATGTCCCTTGTTCAGCAATGGTTTCATGAGTGTTTTTACGACACTTCCTGAGAACCCATGTGGATCTTGACCTGGTGTGTCAATGTCTGTATCTGAATACAGTATCATGTCCATGACAATACCAGTTTCACAGTCACATAGCACGAAAAACTCAAGAGTCCAAACCTGTGCCGCTTTGATGGAATGTACTGCTTGAGCGCCAGTCGTCCCTTGAAGAGAACTAGCAATTCATCAATCACGACATTCTGTCCTGGTATAAAATAGTTATGGATCTTTCCTCTCATATCACTAAATATCTTCTGCACTTTCCACAGTCTGTCGTGTCTGTCTTCATTAGCATTGTTCTCAAAGTGCAGGCACCTGAGAAGCAGCAGGAACCTATCATGTGACATGTACCTGTTGAACATGGGGGATGCAACAAGGCAGTCTGTTCCAATAATCTTGGATCATGTGTTTATCTGAATGCACAACTCATCATCCTCCACAATGCTAAAAACACATACATTTCCTCATTAGTCGTGTATTTCCAGTGTGTCAATTGAGAGGCAAGTAAAATTCCAGAGTCAATGAGTTCCTGAGGGTCAATGAGTTTGTCTCTGCAACAAGATGGTTCATGAATTCCTGATCGATATATGCCACAAAATAATAAATTTCATGCATATCATCACCAGTATAGGAAAATAAGAGTGTCACACCAACATCGGTATCATCAAATGTTGGAATTTGTGGGACAAAATTCTCACAATCACGCAACAAAAGCACTCCCGTGTTTTTGGTTTTGGCGCCAACACCACGGCCAACACCAGCACCACCAGCATGGCCACCAATACCACGGCTCCGTCGTCTTGTGCTAAAGCTGCATATGGGTATGCCAGATGAGGATCTTCTGCATTGTATTGGCCTACCACGAACACCTGTTGTTGAGGGTGCACTGTCATCATTGTCCTCAGGCCGCGTGATACACTGGCGCTTGCCTTGGTGAGGTGCTGGTGCAGCAAAACCCCACCTAGTAATACCATAGCCGCTTGTACTCGGTTCATCAACACTGTTTGTATCTGAGCCTATGTCGTCACTGAAGCCTGAAAATGATTCATCACATGTAGTATCACTAAATAAACTCAAGTCAGGTGATACAGATGGTGATGGTAACTCTAGCAGTGTTGACCCAGAGCAGCGTGGGAGGCCGGCGAAGCGTGTGTACTGTACACACTCTCAACATTGTCCACATCATTCTCCCCCTCACTTGTGTCAGACTTCTATGTTAGGTCTTTTTCTGAACTGTAGTCTAAATCACCAACAAGCAGTTCATCATACAATATGTCAGGACTGTATTTCCTCCTCTGAGAGTCATTTTGCAGCACAGTGGCTGACTGTGGACCGGGAGCTCGTAGATGATGCATCAGACATGGTTGCTTCCTTGAAACTGAGGGTCCCCAGGCCCTGGGGCATGCTGGGATTTTTTTCAAAATAGCAGACAATCACTGGAGACCTCGGGCATCCATTTTGTACCCATGTCCCCACGCACCAGTTTTGAATCGTACGCTATACCTACGAGCGCCCTGAGGCATGTTGTGCAGTGTCAGTAAGAGAAAATATGTATTAGACCTAGTACAAACAAAGTGATGCCAATAAATAAAAAAAAAAACAGGAGTTTGATAAAAATGATCATGAAGAAATTAGGTTCAACATAACATGGAACAGTTGTATAGAAGAAAACTGTGGCAGGGTGTGAGATTTTGATAAAGCTAATTACAGTACTGTACTGTATAAGGGATTAAGGCATAACCTGCTATGTGTAAACTGAGCAGCCATTAACAGGGTAGGCAACCCTGGGAAAAAGCACAACCTCAGGAGCATGTGACCTGACACTGATTAAATTGTAAATTAGTACTGTATTACAACACATTTAAAAGCATTCACCGGTTGTGCAGTGGTAATGCACTCTCCTCACACTTCGTGAGCGATTTGGCCCAGGTTCATATCCTAGCTGGGGAGGATTGACTAGGCACCAATCCTTAACTGTATGCCACTATTCACCCAGAAGTAATTGGGTACCTGATAGTTAAACAATTGGAGAGTCGTATTCCAGGGAAACTAGTGGGTAAGGTTTACCATGAGCTAAGGAATGGGAAAAAGCTCTAACTTACAGGAGTTAGGAGATAACAGTCATATGTTCTGTACCCACCTGTGTAAAAAAAAAGAAAATCGAGGCACATAAAAATAATCTTTTACATTATCTCTAAGGTTGAATAATAATGATCCTAATTGGATGAATGTGATTAAAGGCTCTTATTGAAAATAGAAAGGTATGATTAAGTTAATAAAGGAGAGGAAAGTTTATCTAAAAATAGAGCATTGAGTGTAATGAAATGCCGTGTTCTAGGTCAGTACCTCAGTAGCTCTCCTGATCTTAATTATTTTTGTTTCTCCCAAAGATACTATAGATGGAGTAGACCAAGGGCTGGAAGAAGGTGATACTGGAGAACTAGCAACATGCATTTTTATTGATTCGAGGGATAACCTGGAGGTTTCTCTCACACCATACATAATGAAGGCTATTTACAACCTGGTGTGTGAATATCTTGATAAACCTGTGGAGCCTCAAGCCATTGTCACATCTGCAGCTCACACTGCACAACAAATTATCCTTATAAATGAAATTGGACCCAACTCTAAAGTCACAGTATTGGCCCAGGAGGAGGTTGGTAACATTGCTTTAATTATGTTAATAAATATATTAATGTATCGGTAGTACAGTTTGGTTCATTCTTGACTCACAATTGGGAATCCCAGGTTCAAACCCCAGGCAGGACAGAAATGGTTGGGATATTTCCTATCATCTAATGCCACTGTTCACCTAGCATTAAATGGGTACCCAGGAGTTAGTCCTTGATATAAGCCTAATGTGTGTGTGTGTGTGTGTGTATGTATGTATATATATATATATATATATATATATATATATATATATATATATATATATATATATATATATATATATATATATATATATATATATATATATATATATATATATATATATATATATGTCGTACCTAGTAGCCAGAACTCACTTTTTGGCCTACTATGCATGGCCCGATTTGCCTAATAAGCCAAGTTTTCCTGAATTAATATATTTTTTCTAATTTTTTTCTTATGAAATGATAAAGCTACCCATTTCATTATGTATGAGGTCAATTTTTTTTTATTGGAGTTAAAATTAACGTAGATATATGACCGAACCTAACCAACCCTACCTAACCTAACCTAACCTATCTTTATAGGTTAGGTTTGGTTAGGTAGCCGAAAAAGTTAGGTTAGGTTAGGTTAGGTAGGTTAGGTAGTCGAAAAACAATTAATTCATGAAAACTTGGCTTATTAGGCAAATCGGGCCTTGCATAGTAGGCTGAGAAGTGCGTTCTGGCTACTAGGTACGACATATATATATATATATATATATATATATATATATATAAGTACAACCTCGATTCAACGTACCCCGATTCAACGAATCTCCGGCTAGTTCGCACACTTTTCAGGCCGGATTTACTCACCCGATTTGACGAACAATAGTGCCCCAAAGCGGGGGATGTTCGGATATGCTTACGATGTCCAGACAAAGTTCACAGACTGGTGGAAAACTTTCCCATTCTATCACAGATTACAATTAATAATTCTCTCATATGACAAGTTGGATCACACAAGTGGACCACACAAGTGGACCACAAGTGGTCCACAAGCTTACGATGTTGGGACAGTTCACAGAGTGGTGGAAAACTTTCCCATTCCATCACAGGTTACAATTAATAATTATTTCATATGACAAGTTGGATCACACAAGTGGACTACACAAGTGGACCACACATGTGGACCACACATGTGGACCACAAGTGGTCCACAAGCTTACAATTTTGGGACAGAGTTCACAGAGTGGTGGAAAACTTTTTCATTCTATCACAGATTACAATTAATAATTCCTTCATAAGACAAGTTGGATCACATAAGTGGACCACACAACAAGTGAACCATATGAACCAAACACCAGCCAGAATGGTCCACACAACAAGTAAAGCATATTAACCAAACACCAGCCAGAGTGGTCCACACAAGTGAGCGACTGAGTTTCCATGATTTTCGTTCACTGATTTGTAGCACACGTATCTTTGTACATTAATTTAAAGGCTGAAGCGTGATTACCTAGCTACATGTGGTAAAATCTCCTTATAGACATTTTCTGTGATGAAACAAGATGAGTGAGGGTGGACAGATAAGAGAATACTGTACTGTAAACCTCACTTTACAGTGAGGTTTCACTCTCGTCTGTGTCGTCATAGTTCAGTGACCCATGACTTTGAAAGTTTCATATTATTAAATAATTTCTAAAACCAGTGTTTTAATAGCTTTTTATTATCCTAATTAAACTATACTAAATAAAATAAAAAATATACTGTAATATGATAGTCATCTGCTATTTGAAAAATTACTGTATGTTATTGGAACAACTCCAGCGTGAGTGGACGGGTCTAATCCTTGTACACACAGCACCATGCATGTTTCGTTCGATTTCGTCGCCACAGTTCAGTGACTACAGCCTCGAAATAATAAAATTAATAAATCAGTTCTAAAATAAGTTTTTTTATATCTCTTATTATCCTCCCTCTCGTATTATCCCTCCCTCTCTCCATCCCTCCCTCCCTCCCTCCCTCTCTCCATCCCTCCCTCTCTCCATCACTCCCTCCTTCTCTCCCTCCCTCCATACCTCCCTCTCTCTATCCCTCCTTCCCTCCCTCTCTCACTCTCTCCATCCCTCCCTCTCTCCATCCCTCCCTCCCTCTCCCTCTCTCCATCCATCCCTCCCTCCCTCTCTCCCTCCCTCCCTCCCTCCCTCTCTCCCTTCCTCCCTCCCTTGCTCTCTCCCTCCCTCCCTCTCTCCATCCCACCCTCCCTCCCTCTCTCCATCCATCCCTCCCTCTCTCTCCCTCCCTCCCTCTCTTCATCCCTCCCTCTCTCCATCCCACCCTCCCTTCCTCCTGCCCTCTCTCCAGCCCTCCCTCCCTCTCTCGCTCTCTCCCTCCCTCTCTCCCTCCCTCCCTCCCTCTCTCCATCCCACCCTCCCTCCCTCTCTCCATCCATCCCTCCCTCCCTCTCTTCATACCTCCCTCTCTCCATCCATCCCTCCCTCCCTCTCTTCATACCTCCCTCTCTCCATCCATCCCTCCCTCCCTCTCAACATCCTTCCCTCCCTCTCCCCCTCTCTCTCTCCCTCCCTCCCTCCCTCTTTATCTCTCTCTCTCCCTCCTGCCTCCCTCCCAGCCTCTCCCTGCCTGCCTGCCTACATTTCAGCCTCTCCATCCCTGCCGGCCTGCCCATCCACCCATCAGTCAGCCATCACTGACACAACGAGTGCATTTGGAGCCAACATGGTGCACGAATGTTCCTTGATTGTGCAGATATGTCCAACAAAGTCACGGAATAAACACTCCAGCCTCTTGACACATCAAAACATAGTGTTAAAATTAAAGTTGTAGTAATTTTAGTGTACAATAGTTTTCATAAACTGTATTGTAGTACTCAACATATAGCAGAACTACTCAACACAGTGTTAATGGCATAATACACTACAGTATGTATTTACTGTACAGCATTCACAACTCCATGAGACTTGAAGATGGACATAACTCGAACAATAAGGTAAATAACAAATGTAACACAGTATTTGTTAGTAGAGTAATAATATATAGGTACAATATATATATATATGATAATGCATTTTTATTGTCTACAAGAAAAAAAACACTGATGCAAACACCTCCTGAAGGTCACCTCTTGCAACGAATCCAACGCTCCAATGAACTGGGGTTGGTCCCATATAATACGTTGAATCGAGGTTGTACTGTGTATGTATATATATATATATATATATATATATATATATATGTCGTACCTAGTAGCCAGAACGCACTTCTCAGCCTAATTTGCAAGGCCCGATTTGCCTAATAAGCCAAGTTTTCCTGAATTAATATATTTTGTATAATTTTTTTCTTATGAAATGATAAAGCTATCCATTTCATTATGTATGAGGTCAATTTTTATTTATTGGAGTTAAAATTAACGTAGATATATGACCGAACCTAACCAACCCTACCTAACCTAACCTAACCTATCTTTATAGGTTAGGTTCGGTTAGGTAGCAGAAAAAGTTAGGTTAGGTCAGGTTAGGTAGGTTAGGTAGTCGAAAAACAAATAATTCATGAAAACTTGGCTTATTAGGCAAATCGGGCCCTGCATAATAGGCCGAGAAGTGCGTTCTGGCTACTAGGTACGACATATATATATATATATATATATATATATATATATATATATATATATATATATATATATATATATATATATATATATATATGACAGTTTCAGACCACGGAGGAAAATTGAAACAGGAATTTCCTTAAGTACTTTCGTATATTAATACATCTTCAGAAGGAGTGTAGTTCACTCCTTCTGAAGATGTATTAATATACGAAAGTACTTAAGGAAATTACTGTTTCAATTTTCCTCCGTGGTCTGACACTGTCACATTTTTAATCACGTGTTTATTTTCATGATATACACACACACACACACACACACATATATATATATATATATATATATATATATATATATATATATATATATATATATATATATATATATATATATATATATATATATATATATATGTTGTACCTAGTAGTCAGAACGCACTTCTTGGCCTACTATGTACGGCCCGATTTGCCTAATAAGCCAAATTTTCCTGAATTTATATATTTTTCGAAGTTTCTTCTAAAGAAATGATAAAGCTATCCATTTTATTATGTATGAGTTAATTTTTTTTAATTTGAGTTAAAACTAACGTAGATATATGACCAAACCTAACCAACCCTACCTAACCTAACCTATCTTAACCTAACCTAAACTAACATAACTACGTCAATAATTTATGTTCTTAATATAATATAATAATAATAATAATTCAAATAAACCAATTGGAAACAATTTGTTGCTAATAAAGAAAATCATTCGGCCTATTAGACAAATTGGCCCTTGCATACTAGGCTCGAGAAGTGCGTTCTGGCTACTAGGTACGACATATATATATATATATATATATATATATATATATATATATATATATATATATATATATATATATATATATATATATATATATGTGGTACCTAGTAGCCAGAACGCACTTCTCAGCCTACTATGCAAGGCCCAATTTGCCTAATAAGCCAAGTTTTCCTGAATTATTATATTTTCTCTATTTTTGTTCTTATGAAATGATAAAGCTACCCATTTCATTATGTATGAGGCCAATTTTTTTTTATTGGAGTTAAAATTAACGTAGATATATGACCGAACCTAACCAACCCTACCTAACCTAACCTAACCTATCTTTATAGGTTAGGTTAGGCTAGGTAGCCGAAAAAGTTAGGTTAGGTTAGGTTAGGTAGGTTAGGTAGTCGAAAAACAATTAATTCAGGAAAACTTGGCTTATTAGGCAAATCGGGCCTTGCATAGTAGGCCGAGAAGTGCATTCTGGCTACTAGGTACGACATATATATATATATATATAATATTTATATGGAAGGGAGTACCACCTCTGGCTGGAAGAAAGGGGACCCTTAGGAAACCACACATAATGCATGGGTCCCCTCCAACACAGTTTCTGTGTGCTTTTTTCTTCTACCACCCCCTATATGGAAGGGAGTACCACCTCTGGCTGGAAGAAAGGGGACCCTTAGGAAACCACACATAATGCATGGGTCCCCTCCAACACAGTTTCTGTGTGCTTTTCTTCTACCACCCCCTTCCTTTTGTGATTTTATTTTTTTGCTGTATTATGTATTTAAAGGTTACAAGATGTACGTGGGTTGATACAAAAAGTGCCTAAAGGTTATAAATATATATATTTATATATTTATTAGTATATTTTGGCAGCAGTCTTTCTTGTTACTTTCATTCTTATGTTTTCATATCCAATTTATACCCATTGATTCATGTTCTGTCACCTCACCCAAAAACATTTGTGTCATACACTTTTAGGTGTCAGACCATAAATAAAAAAGGAGAAAATGAACTTTGAAGAGTTAATATTTCAACTACCCCCGACAGTGAAGAAAAACGTGAGAAATATTGAGAAGATTCGTGTTAGAATCATTAATCTTACCCTTTCGGTCATATTCAACAACATCATACAGTGGTACCTCAGAATACCAGCGTCCCTGTTTATGAGTTCTTCGGATTACGAGCAGGATTTGCTCGGAAAATTTTCATCAGAATACGAGGGTGTTGATATGAGTACAAGCCGACTAGCGCGTGGTGGCATGGCAATCGCATCTCAGTTTACCAGTGTCTCACGCCCAGTGACTATCCTGCCTGAATTCTTCACAAGGATTTACAGTTTTTTGTCAGATTTTTGGCCATGTGAGCATTAAGGTTATTATATATCTCACCATGGGTCCCAAGAAAGCCAGTGGTAAGGTTCAACCTAAAAAAATTAGTTGTGAGTAGAGGCAGTAGAGGATGTCCCTTTTTCATTAAGAAAATGTGTGAAGTATGGGAAAAACTGCAAAGTTTTGTTGAATAAAACTCACCCAGATAAAGCAGTAGCAGGCCGTTGCATTGACCTTTTAAATGACAATGTGATGTCATACTACAGACAAGTGTTAAAATGTAGGGAAAAAGAAGTGTCTTTAGACAGATTCTTAGTAAGACAAGCAAGCAGTGAGCCACAAGCAGGTCTTAGTGGTATGCAGGCAAAACGTGCCAGAGAGTGCACACCAGTGAAGTCCTCACTGCCTGATGTTATAATGGAAGATGACTCCCCTTCCAAACAGTAGCACCTCTTCTCCTCCCTCCCTCCTCACCATATTCCATATGCCAATAGCAGTCATCAGCAAGGGTAAGTAATAACTTGAACATACTTTTGTAGTGTAGATTTAGATGAATTAGGTATAAAATTTAGATTGAAGTGAGGTTTTTGTGTAGCCAGGAACGGATTAATTCATTACCCATTATTTCTTATGGGGAAATTAGCTTCAGATTATGATTTTTCGAATTACGAGCTGTCTCCAGGAACGGATTAAACTCTTAAACCGAGGTACCCCTGTGTGTGTGTGTGTGTGTGTGTGTGTGTGTGTGTATATATATATATATATATATATATATATATATATATATATATATATATATATATATATATATATATGTCGTACCTAGTAGCCAGAACGCCCTTCTCAGCCTACTATGCAAAGCCCAATTTGCCTAATAAGCCAAGTTTTCATTAATTAATGTTTTTTCGACTACCTAACCTACCTAACCTAACCTAACCTAACTTTTTCGGCTACCTAACCCAACCTAACCTATAAAGATAGGTTAGGTTAGGTTAGGTAGGGTTGGTTAGGTTCGGTCATATATCTACGTTAATTTTAACTCCAATAAAAAAAATTGACCTCATACATAATGAAATGGGTAGCTTTATCATTTCATAAGAAAAAAATTAGAGAAAATATAATAATAAAGGAAAACTTGGCTTATTAGGCAAATCGGGCCTTGCATAGTAGGCTGAGAAGGGCGTTCTGGCTACTAGGTACAACATATATATATATATATATATATATATATATATATATATGTCGTACCTAGTAGCCAGAACTCACTTCTCAGCCTACTATGCAAGGCCCGATTTGCCTAATAAGCCAAGTTTTCATGAATTAATGTTTTTTCGTCTACCTAACCTACCTAACCTAACCTAACCTAGCTTTTTTTGGCTACCTAACCTAACCTTACCTATATATATAGGTTAGGTTAGGTTAGGTAGGGTTGGTTAGGTTCGGTCATATATCTACGTTAATTTTAACTTCAATAAAAAAAAATTGACCTCATACATAGTGAAAAGGGTAGCTTTATCATTTCATAAGAAAAAAATTATAGGAAATATATTAATTCAGGAAAACTTGGCTTATTAGGCAAATCGGGCCTTGAATAGTAGGCTGAGAAGTGAGTTCTGGCTACTAGGTACGACATATATATATATATATATATATATTTCATGCCTAATAGCCGCCAGAACCACACTTCTTGGCCTAGTGTGCAAGGTCTGATGTGCCTAACAGGCAGAATGATTTTTGTTATTTTCAAATATTTCTTTCCAGATTGGCTCTTTTTTTTAACAATAATTATCTATTAGGAACATAAATTACTGACTTAGTTATATTAGTTTATTCTTGGTTGTGATAGGTTTAGATAGATTAGGTTAGGATAGATAGGTTGGGTTAGGTTTCATCAAATTTCTATGTTAATTTTGACTCAAAAAACATAAGATTACAATCATATATATAATACAATCAAAACTTCATCATTCTATAGTAAAACTATAGTATTTAATATTTACAATAACAAGAAAACACACATTTACTTATTTGGAATGAAAAAATGGAAGTAAAATTTGTTACATGATATAAATTAGGTAGAATATTTCTTAGTTTCTTTTTAAACTGGTTGAGAGATGTACACAGAATATAAGTACAGTGCAACCTTGATTCAGTGAACTATATGGGGCCAGGCCCAATTTCTTGCAGCCAGATATTTGTTACAACTTGAGATACCTTCGGGTGTGCCAGTGAGTGAAGGGAGGCAATGCAGCTTAGCCCTAGTCCATCTCCAAAAACAACTGGGCATTACAGTGCTCTTCTTCAACCCCCCCCCTCCCCCACCTCCTCTCCTCCAATAGATTGATTGGACAAAAATTAAGAAACTAGTAAAAAACAACTGCATCAAGAGACAAATAGAGCAGCAAACCTCATTTGCACACCAAGGAGCAAAGCACTCCTAAGAAAATGCCATTAGGTATCCTTAGAAGGTGATATCAGTAATGCATAACTGACCCCAGGTTTGGAATCTCTAAAGCTATTGCCTAAACTAGGCTAATGTAGTTCTCAAAACATGCTCAATCCACTTGTCAGAAACAACAGAATTGGATAAGAGCAGAGTGGACAGGAAGACGATCAAAACCATCCCAATGCACTAAGATGGAAGAAATAAATTTGAAGACGAATTCTCCTATCCCTGAGCATTGCTCAAGAGAAGATAACAAAACATATGCACAAAGTGCAGGGCTAAGTGAAAGTAGGCTGAACCACTTGAACTACCAGCTTAAGGTTACTGGCTGTTGGCCTAACTGGTAGTTTGCAAGTGCACTTTAATTGTGGTTACATGATGCCAAGGAGGAATTGAATGGGCTTCAACTTTTTATAAATCAAGCTTCTAGAGTACATTCCAAGCAGAATTGAGACTTTTATACTTATCCCTTGTATCAGTATGATCCTGAAGGGATTGTTTTAAAAAGCCTGTCGTGCTGGGGGGAGGGGGAGAGGTCAAAATGTTATCTAGCCTGTCCGATACCAATTCTTTCTACAAGACACTTTAGGGAGCAACTGAGTGGGATACTGTAGCTCAGAATATAATAATATAACAATTTAATATTTTCTTTTCAACTGTGCATGTACCGTATGCCATTTGTAAATATAAATGATTAAATTGTATGTGAAATACAGGTAAAGTAGTTGCATAGTTATATTTTCTCACTTTTTTAGAATGATGGTGCTATAAAGTTTGAAGTTGTGGCCACTGCTAAGTATCAAGAGCCTGACTCCTTACCCTCTAGTCCAGCATCTGGCAAGAGTCGCAGTCGGGGTGAGTCTGCTTCCGAGGATGAATCTTGTGCTGATAGGTAAGAAACTATCTATGATATTCTATTTGATTAGTAATGTATTTATCATTCATAACCTCACTTCTGTTGGGGAAAAAATGGAATACATTTTATCCATAAGGATGTGATGTACTGTTTTCACTAAACCATCAGGCAGCACTAGAGTCCAAGTGGCCTGGTGGAAAAAACATCTGAGCCAGTACTGGTGAAAAGTCCCCTGAGCCAATACTGGTGAAAAGCCAGCTCAGCCAGTACTAATGAAAAGCCAGCTCAGCCAGTATTAGTGAAAAAAACTAGGTGGGCCAGTTCTTGTGAAAAGCCAGCTGAGCCAGTACTGGTGAAAAGTCCCCTGAGCCAATACTGGTGAAAAGCCAGCTCAGCCAGTACTAATGAAAAGCCAGGTGGGCCAGTTCTTGTGAAAAACCAGCTGAGCCAGTACTGTTGAAAAGCAAGCCAAGTCAGTACTAGTAAAATGCCAGCTGAGCCAGTACTGGTGAAAAGCCAGCTGAGCCAGTACTAGTGAAAAGCCAGGTGGGCCAGTTCTTGTGAAAAACCAGCTGAGCCAGTACTGTTGAAAAGCAAGCCGAGTCAGTACTAGTAAAATGCCAGCTGAGCCAGTACTTGTAAAAATCCAGCTGAGCCAGTACTAATGAAAAGCCAGCTGAGCCAGTACTAGTGAAAAGCCAGGTGGTCCAGTTCTTGTGAAAAGCCAGCTGGGCTAGTAGTAGGCATCCATCAGTCTCAGAAGACTATGGAGTTGTGCTCTGGTTGTCAGTCTGGAGTGGCCTCTTCAGGGTGCAAAGCCAGAATAGACTGACACGGAGGAGAACCTGTTAACCAAGCAGCAGGTCTCCCCCTCTCCACAGCACCAAAAGTCTTCATTCGAAAGGCAAATGCCAATACTATTGGTTCCAACACCGTCGCAGGAACTGTGAGCTCCGGGGTTGACCTCAAAGTTAGTGAAAGAAGGCACAGGGACTCTACACCCGGAGACCGCCGTGGTCGGGGCCAGAGAAGAACCACCCCAGCAAGGGCAAGAACAACCACAGCTTCTTGAGGCAGAACCAAATTTTTTTGTGCGGCCTACCTTTCATTTCACTTTTTGGTTTCACAAAATTTCACGAATGGCCTAAAATTTCACCTTTTGAATTCAAAAGGTGACACCCCTTGTGTCATCACCTGCATCAGAGAAGCTCCAGGATATTTTAACAATCCTAAGTATTGTAGTACAGGTTGATGATAGTGAGTGGTGTCCCAAGGAACATCAAGGTGTTGTGCTTTGGAAAAATAGGTGAGATAACACGAATGTGCCAACGGAAGTAAAAAAATTGGATGAGAAAAAGTTGCCATAGTCTTCACAGTGCAGACAACAACATTCAAGATGGCTGCTGGCAAGAAGGAAAACAAAACAGCTAGATTTTAGGGGTTTTAATGAAGAAAGGATTGATATAAGCCGTCTACACAACAAATTTGCAAAATTCGATATTATAGTGAACTATCATATAGAATTAATCAGCAAATTGAAAGAAAGTAATGACCACTTGACTAGCAAAGTTTTAGGTCTTGAGGGGTTAGTGAAAGACTTACACAAGGACAAGAATCAATTGGAAACAAATTGCAAAGCCATGGAAGAGGAAAATAAACTCTTAAAAATAGCTTTGGAAGAAGTTAAAGCAAATTTAAACATAAATGACTGCAAAAGGTTAGGTAAGGAAATTCAACAGGAAAAACAGCTTTTGTCAGTACAGATGAAGGAAGTTACACAGGGAATAGAACAGTGCAAGAAATATATGCAACTCACCTATGCACAAGTGGCAGTGGCCAGGGAGAAGGAAAAAGTAGAAGAATCAGTAAAGGAAGCCAAACACTGCAGCAACCAGGATAAAACAAACATTAGGCTGGAAGTGAGAAAGGAATTGGCATCTAACCCGAAGTTGGTGCAAAACACAGTTGATCGAAGTAAGTCTCTAATGATTTTTTCAAGGTTCAAGGTAAACTCCACCATATCCATACAGAGTTATTATATAGAGATACCTTCGTTTACGATTCTGATCTGTTCCAAGAGACGCGTTGTACACCAAAAATCATAAACCAAAACTAATTTTCCTATAAGAAATAATGTAAATTGAATTAATCCGTTCCACACACACCCAAAAATATTAACTTAAAAATACATTTTCTACCGAATATTATTAATATTTTGTACTACAGTATATCTTACCGTTATTGAAGATTCTTGTTGGTGTATGGAAGACGGTTAGGAGGGGGGTGGGAGGAGGAGGAAAAGTGTTAGGGTTTGGAAGGGGAGTCCCCCCTTCTAGTATAACATCAGGCAGTGATGATATTTCTGGGGTACTCTCCTATGTTTTGCAGGTATACCACTAGGACCTGGTTGTGGCTTATTGCTTGCTTGTCTTACTAAGAATCTGACTATAGACCCTATTTTCCTCCCTACATTTTTACACTTGTCTGTAGTGAGACATCACATTGTCATTAAAATGGTTAATGCAATGGCCTGCTACAGCTTTATCTGGGTGACACTTTTGAGCAAAACTTTGAAGTTTTTCCTATACTGCACACTTTTTCTTAATTAATGAGGAAGGGACATTCTCTATTGCCTCCTCCTTCCCTGAAGAAATTTCCTCAGCTGTCTCTTGTTGCTGCTTCATGTTAAGGGCTAGAAGTTCGTCGGTTGTCAGTTCTTCCCTGTGTTCCTCCACCAAGTCCTCCACATCAGCACCATCCAGCCTAGCTAGTTCAACAACCCTCATACGATTTTCATGTTTACAAATGATCTTTTGTTTTTCCTCTATTGACATCCTCACAACTATTTTCTTAGGTTGAACTTTACCACTGACTTTCTTGGGACCCATGACATGATATATATTAAGAACTTTTATGTTCAGAAACCAAAAAAGCAGGAAAACAATGAAATTATTTACAAAGAATTCTCAGGTGGGTCATGCCAGGGCTCGGGGTTCCGCTGGTCTGGGTGGGCCATTGATGCCAGCTTCGGAGCCGGTGCTTCCTTTGGAGCCGGCGTCATCTGTTAGCGTGATGATTGTTCTGTTCGTCAGTCGGCTTCTTGTAAGGGGCGTCGGTCCTTTCACTGTTCGCCTCGTTGACAGGGCGATGGGGGGGGAGGCTCGCTCCATTTGACCACGTTTGGTCCCGTGATTCGTGGGCGTCTCGGGTCGTGTCATCCGGCCTGTGGTGGCGTTAGGCGGCGGCTCCTTTTTTGGAGGGCTCAGGCTGGCGGGGCAGGCTTCTTTCACTGCGTTTTTTCATGTGATCTCGGAGTGGGTGCGCTTGGGCGTGGTCGAAACAACCACATCCCTCAGGTGGGTTTCCCGCCTGTTTCCAGTGCCAAAATGGGACTATGTGGATCTGCGGTTCATTCTGGATTTGTCCCATCTGAATCCCTGTATTCCTTGCCCCTTCTTTCAGATGACCACTCTGTCTCAGGTCCAGCTTCTTTTGGAGCCGGGTGCCTTGATTATGTCCCTGGACTTCAAGGACGCGTATTGGTACGTTCCTATTCGTCTGGGGTTTAGGGACTGGTTAGGTTTTGTGGTGGGGCGTCTAGCTTACCACTTTCATTGCCTTCTTTTTGGCTTGAATCTGGCACCTCGCATTTTCACGTGTCTTACCTGGATCATGATGACCCATCTGCATCTGTTAGGGGTTCGAGTTCTGGCCTACCTCTACGACTGACTGGTGTGGGCTCCCAGTTGGTCTGCTTGTCTGCTTGCCAGAGGTGTGGTTCTTTCTCAGCTCGCCGGGTTCGGGTTCCTGGTGAACTGGCAGAAGTCCCATCTGGTTCCGTCCTAGGAACCAGGTGCCCCAGGTCACTCGAAGGTTGACCGAACATGGCTGGTTCGGTCTTCTCCTCCACTCTTCACGTCTGGTCTTTTTGACCCGGGATTATCACCAATTGTATGGTGATCAGGTGGCTTTGTTGACAGCTGGGCGCCTGACAGCTGGGTGGACAGCGCTTTGGATTCGTAGTCCTGAGGTTCCGGGTTCAATCCCTGGTGGAGGCGAAGACAAATGGGCAAAATGTTTCTTTCACCCCGATACCCCTGTTACCTAGCAGTAAATAGGTACCTGGGAGTTAGACAGCTGCTACGGGCTGCTTCCCGGGGGGTGTGTAACAAAAAGGAGGCCTGGTCGAAGACCGGCCCGTGGGGACACTAAGCCCCGAAATCCTCTCAAGATAGGTTCGGACCTGGCTGAGTCTTGTTTGGGACTCTCGAACCGCTGCCGTGTCTCTCCCTCTGGAGGCATTTCTGCGGCTGCGGTTCTGTCTTCAGCTGTTTCTGGGGGCCCCCAGGTCACTCGGAGGTTGCTCGAACAGTTGTGCGGGAGTCTGAACTTCTCTGTGCTGGTCTACCCACTGGGTCAATTTTGGCTTCAGCATCTGTTCTCGTTCCTTCTGGGATGCCCCTTCAGCCTCGCTTGTAATCCTTGGGTTCGTTCTCCAGGGGCCTTGCGTCAGTTGCTACATCGCCTGCTTCTTCTTTGTGTTTTTTGGTTCAGTGCCTTGGCGCCTACCCGTGTCATCGCTCGATATTTTCACAGCCGCGTCGTCTCTCGGCTTGGGTTTTGTGACCAGCGCTCACCAAGCCGGCCATGGGCTGTAGGGTCCCTCCTTCCATCGGGCTCACAGCATGGTGCGGGAGTTTGCAACGGTTAGGTTGTCTCTTCGGAGTATTCGAGTTGCTCGGGGTTCGACCATCCTGCTCCTTTCATTCAAACTGTTCTCCGGTGGTTCATTGCCTGAACCGCGGAGGTTCTCTTCGCTCCCTGCTTCTTTGGGGCTGGTCGCTTCGAGTGGCTCGTCTGCTGGGTTCTCAGGGTTTGGCTTTCCGTGCGGTTCATATCCGGGGATTGTCCAACATCCTGGTGGACAGCCTGTCTTGGTTCATTCCCCCCGTCCATGGAATGTACTATTGACACCGACTCCATCAGTTGGCTCTACCAGACGTATGGACTCCCAAAGGTGGATTTCTTCGTGTCGG